GACCTTTCCATAATGAGCGTAGACCAAATCAGATTTTTTCGGTCGACGATCCTACCGTAAATGGCCGCTCCGTACCCATCTTCCGAAGCATCTGAGGAACAATGCAGCTGTACATCGTCGTCAGTGAATGGCTTTGGTATGATACACCGCGGAATCTTCAATCGTTCTAGTTGCTGGGCGTCTCGAGAGACGACACCATTCTTCTCGTTCTGATCCGTCTACCTGAGTCTCCCAATTAAGTCTTTTTCGTGCGAATGATTTCAATAGTTCCTTAGTACACGACAGTACTGAGGATACTAAACCTAATGGATCATAAATGAAAGCGAAAAAACATAACATGAATCTTCGAGTGTATTCGCGTTCGAACTTTGTTAGACTGAAAGTTATGCAATCATCTGACAAATTCCACTTCAATCCCAGCGTGGGTTGTACGTTCTCAAATTGCAGAGTTAATTGAACTGATTCCTTGGATGCCAGATTCCTCGTTATTTCGCGCAGAATTTGGCAGTCGTTACATTTCCTTATGCTGAATCCACCCTTGGATGCGGTTGCTTTAAAATCCGTAATAAGACGGTGATCTTCTTCCCAGCTGAACAGGCAATCGTCAGCGTACAAACATCGCTGCATCAGCGCCAGTGTCAACTCGGGATACTCGGTCTTGCAGTCTTCGATTGTTCTTCTAAGAGTGAATGATGCATAACATGGTGACGATGTTGCACCGAATGGATGGAGCGTCATACGGAACACTTGAGGTGATTCGTGTAACTGACCCTTTGGCCACCATAGACATCGTAGATAGTCTTTATCTTTCGAAGTCACTATTACTTGGTGAAACATGGCTTTAATAGCTTAAACCACTGCTACTGTACCCATTCTGAACCTCAGCAAAACGCCGACTTAATTGTTCACCAGGTCCGGCCCTTTCAACAACCTTTGGTTTTAGGAAGTGCCTTGATAGGTGCTAGCACAGTCGAAAACAACGCGAACTTTACCAGGTTTATTTAGGCGCGTCACTGCCTGATGGGGCATATACCAAGCGCCATTCTTATTACCAAACACTTCCGTCTCAGTCATTTCTGCATACCCAGTTGGAGTGTACTTCTCTACCGCAGCAGCGTACATCTGATGTAATTCTGGGTTACCAGCGAGTTTTCTGCACAAAGACATCAACCTTCGGTAATCCACCGGGTAGTTGTTGGGTCGATTTGGGCATCTATCCACGGTAAACTGAGTTGGTAATGCGAGCCACATTTAACAACAGACCATTCCATCTGCTCTAGAGCAAGCTTGTCTTTGACAGACATTCCGAGGATTTAACCTACACGACTCAGTAAAGTCCAACTCATACATTCTCTCGAGAAAGGTCGATCTATGATCTTCGTTAATAGCGCTGATACAGATGTTCGATGTGTCTGATCCTCTAACTGGCCCAAGCAGAATCCAACCCAATGACCTTCGTACTGCAAAATGGTCCGAGGACTTTCCATATCGACGCTCAAATACCCAATAAGCTTCCTGGACACCTGTACCAATTAATACTCCGACATCTCGATCGCAACTGTCAAAAGACTGCAGCTTCTTCAAATACTCCCAATTATGTAATCGGTTCCGGTATTATCCTTCGTACATTATGTATCCTTTTGTCCGACCATGCATGATCTGTGTACAGAGATTTACCCCTGTCCAAGGGACAGTCGAGTGCGCCATCTACGGGATTTTAAGCACCGGCTGTTGTCCGTCTGTACAGCTGACTTTTATGCTCTCTAGATATATGCGCAGTTAGACTATCTTTTATTCTGAAGTGTTAATAATCTTCCTATATGAACAAAAAGCAGAATAATGCAGTGTTAAACGGTTATTTCATGAATCGGTGAAAAATGACAAATTTATGGTATAACTATTAACACGTGGATAAATATAAAGCTGAATTTGTCAGCATCCATAGAAAGCCAAGTCCTAGGTGTCCGTATAATGAAATATGTGAGAGCAAACGTACTTATTGGTCCCAAATGTATGTGTGTGGCTGCAGTCCAAGTGTCCTGTATGGATAATTGTCTGGAAGCAGGGTAAATTAGAAACGAAATCAGTGGTCTAAGTGTATTGGGAACGAATTTTATAGCGAATAAAAGATACCATATGATATAGGCTATGAGTTAAATAAACTGGGTTTCTCTCCTAACCTTGAACAAGGTGCAAGTTTTGCGCAGCAACCATTGTCATCTTCCCTTGTAATTAACTGAAAAACCGCCCGTACGTCGGCTTTAGCGTTGTCCATTGCCGCGTGCTGCTGTACCATAGCAACACTATCGAAATCCCTTGATCGCCTGTGGGGTATCCGGCGGTCCGCCCATCTCCAAAAGTTGCAGTTCTAGCCGTACCACCTGTGAGCCCACATATGAGTTACCGGTGACCGTTGCTATCTGCACAACTGATGACCTAGTTGGTAAATTCAATTCCCGTAGTAGCTGTTCGTCAACAAGCGATGAATCGGATCCAGGATCAAGTAAAGCATTGGTCACCAATGTCTTGTTCTTTCCACGCGATACAACCGGAATAATTCCTAGAGCCACTCGGCCGCGAGTCGGTTCGTTGACCACTGCTCTTGGTGAAGTCAGTTACTTCATTTTGGCTTCGTGTAACAAAGGGTGGTTTTGCAGCTGGCAACCGCTGAGTCCGCAAGTAAATCGGGAGCTGCAATTTGCACACGTGTGGTTGGCTTTGAGACACAATTCGCATAAACCTTTCCGAAACTCCGCGAGCAAGCGTTCAGCACTGTTCATAGTTTGGAATCGAGGACATTGATTGAGGCAATGATGCCTTACGCACGTTACACACGATGGTTCGAGTATCTGAATCTGCAGTTATATGATTACCACAATTTTGGAGTCTCTCAGCCGGACAGGACCCTTCAGTTCTTATAGTGCTTTAATTCATGTACATGGCCTACGTTACTGCTGTTTCTGCGGCATCACAGACAAATTTTAACGGGTATCTGAATGATGGTTCTCCGTAAGTGCGCGGGATGCTGGTGACTTTCTTGGAATAATCGTGCCGCAGAGCATAAGGCAACCGACTGATCACCGAGGACACTCACAGTCGCATTCAGGTCGACCTCGTAGTTCAGCTATTGTAGCGTAGTCAAACAAGTTTTCATCTGCCCAACCAGTCCATGCGGCGCTTCAAAATTGTTCGCTTTGCTTGATGATACCTTGACTAAGTCATCGATCTAAACCCTGGCTATAAAATAAATCCAGCTTTTAGCATCTCTATGGCACCACCAAAACCTTCTGGTTCAAATATGACGCAACTCTCGACCGCCTCCCGAGCCCGGACTTCACATTAATTAAACAGGTAGGAGAGTCTGATCCCAGTCTTATATGTTACACCCGTGGCATTTGCTTGAAAACTGCGCATAAGTAGCCAATACCGCATCGGGTCACCGTTAAAGCGGGCAATCTCTCTCTTCGGCAAACCGCTGAGAGCTTCCGCTTCACCCGAGGTGTTTCCAGGAAGAGTGTCGGGCGGGACTCGGACCCGCGAAATCCGTACTGTCGGTAAGCATGTATCCCCATACACTACGCCGCGCTATGTATCGCCTATTGCAATGTAGTTCACCAAAACCAGCAGGTGTCGAAAGTTCGGATGCCTCCCGTAAAACATTTTGGGTCGATCATCTCGTTTAGGACACCTGAGGTACCGCATCCTTAGAGGTAAAAGCTTCCAGTTGGCTTTCTAATTCAGTACTTCTAAGTAGTGCCTCAGACAGTTAATCGGCGGTGGACATACATGGACTATGGTCTGCATTCTGCGGACGTGGTGACAACGAACGCATACCTGATTCATCCATCAGATAGCTATTCATAGCTATTCAACTTGTGTGACTTCCGAAATGGCTGACGACACTTATCACGGTCTGGGCTGTGAGAATGGAGGGCGGTGCGCAGAATAAATTGTACTGAAGCAACGTTGGTTCTGCATAAATGATAATGAAATGCATAGCAACGTATACCGTGTAGGTGAACGGACTCGTAATTAGGTACGTGGTCCGTTCGAGCAGTCCGCGTTCATTCGATGACGCGATTAGTGGTGCATTAAAACAAAGTGTTCGGATGTCTTAGCTTTGCACATCGTTGTCAGTAAATAATGAAAAGTCATATAATAAAGACTAAGAGGAAAAATGTGGTAGGCAGTACAATTAATTCAGCTTGAATGTGCTCAGTGGTAGTACTTTGTCCACTCCTCATTGTTACAACTGTGTAGAAACATGTAATACTTGTAATTAGATAGTAGTAAAGTTACACCAACGAATACGTATTGCCCAGTAGCGGTTACATCGGTGAAAGGAATACACAGTACGTGTACCAACGATGCGAAGCCTAAACTAAGTACGTCGTACAAAAACTAAACTAGAAACTACGAAGAAATAAATCTAAATTTAACGCACGGTCTGGGCAGAAGAATAAAACGAAGTATCCTATAGCCGTGGGCATATTTAATATAGTACATGACTTACGAATAGGTTTTGCAATCGTGGTGCAAGAGGGCAGAGGTTGTACAGCGTGCGGCTGTGTGCGAGTATTTGGGCAGTGTCACAGTAACTAAACAATATGAGTGACATTGAAACGTCAAGGATATGTCTGATCAAGTGAAAGGAATAAATATACGATATGCCAACCGACTGTAGGACACAGTAAAGCATTGTCAAATGAGCAGAATAATTAGAGAATAGAGCTACCGTGTCCTCATGTAGGCAATCCAGCTTGTGGATACATCAAAGTCCATTTTGGACTTTTCAGTGTGGATGTCAACTTGTAGGACTGTCACCCACATGGGTGTTTGCCAACCTCAGAGATTCTTCGTTAACAGGTATTTCGAATTTGTGCTTGACCACACTGGTCATTCTGGTTATCTGTCACCTCAGATTGTAACCTTTTCCTTCTGTGTTACGTCTATTATCCCTCATTTGTTTCGTTTTACTTTCCCCTTTTCCACCTCTTTAGTCATCGGTCCTTGAGGACAACGACCTTTCCGCTGGGAGACGCATTTCTATGCCTGCTCACTTTTTGTCTGATCGAGTGCATCTTCATCGTTGTCATCCAGTGTCCACTCTCGCCCAACAGGTTAGTCACCCTGATGGACCTCCAGCTGTCCTATTTAGGCGCATTTCTGTCTTTCTCTCGCAGAGGCAAAAGTTAAATATGAAAATAAATAGCGCGAAATGTCTATATACTCTGTTCAATATTATTCCACTTCTTTAGCGCCATCGTTGTTTGTCTTTAAGTCTTTACTATTTCGTAACATCGTAATTTCAATCATCGCGAGTGACTGTTTGAACGCTCTGTGACAGCTTTTCCCCTAGTCATCCCAACTGGAACGAATTCCGATTCCGCAAAAACATTTCCGGTCTAATGTATTCACGTTGAAACTGCACTCTAGTACTTTTCCGTGCATGTGGACGACTATCTTATTCGGAACCTGCTGCTACGAGCTCTGTTACTTTCCGATTTAGTCTGACAGTTGTAGTATTGCGTAACTACCATTTTTGGATCGATTTCCGCTTAATGTTGATAGTATTTACAGTTTGGAAATTTTATTTACGTATCTGGTAAGGGTGCGTTTAAAGACTTTCTGAGTGATCAAAGTTCGTCCCATGGACACTTTGATTGGTCATTCAGGGAGTTCCGGGGGACACTTATTGCTCCAGAGCTTTGTGGGCAGTCCGACCCCATTGCGTACAATCAATTCTTTATTATTCGTTGTACTGAATTTTTAATCAGTAGCAAATCTCAACCATTAACCGCTGCGTTTGTCCATGTTTTTCACCTCCTTTTCCACCACACCTCGAACTGCGCCTTCTGCACTACTGACAACATGTTGCGATGCTTGGTGGCATTTGTAATCGTGGCTTCTCTCTTCGACCATGTGGTCTAGATTGCTTCGTTGTCATTCCGTCCCGTCCTGTGTTCCATTTCATGATCGCGCTAGCCTTCACCACCTTGCTGCAAGTTCCATCGCATTAACCTACATGAACGCCTCCTTTGCAGTGTCTTGGATGCGTCATCCGAAACTCCATCCTTTTACTTTGGCACCGCTACTGATTGTGTTGAATTCTTGTAGACACAGTCGGTGCCCCTGCATTGAATCTTCGTTACTGGGATCTCTACTTGTCTCATTCATCCGTCTAACAGCGTGCTGCTCACCTTGAACCCATCTGCTACTTTCAAACTTAGTAATTCTCCTAACGGCTTACTGTGCTATGAGCTGATTAGTCACCTCACAATATAGGTCGTACTTCTGTGGGTCCAATCCTATCCTCTGCGCAGCAGTAATGTGCACAATGATAAAACCCGCTAAGTCTCACTTGGTAGCTCAGTCAAGCAGACCGCTGTCATCCTAACATGCTCACCGGCATAAGCCATCGGCTTCCTTGTTGCATGATCGCATATTCAGTTACAAGATGATGATTCGAGGGAAGTGTCCGTTGCAAATACGTCCTTCGATGGGACACCACGGTCTCCTATCACTTACGAAAACGTATGGGATCCGTGTGTTTAGTTTAACCGTAACGAATATCGCTGAAACTCCTCAGCTCCCATGTTATCTCTTCAGATTCTCTAATTGCGCCGCCCCACAAGACACTCGGCCTACCACAAAATAGAAATTTGCAACACATGGTTGTGGTGCATCCGGCCCCTCATCACTTACTGCAGTTCATTGCTTGTCAGAACTGTCCTCTTCACGCCTACCCTATTCTGCAGTAGCTGAAGATTAAATCGGTCAGCTTGGTTATGAATGTCTCAGTTAACGTCCAACACATATGCCTACAACTTCTATAGGTGCTATTATTTTGTGCTGTTGTTGTTACTGCTGCCATTGATGTTACTACTGTCTCGTAACCTGTTTGCGTGGTTGTTACGGGCCCGTCAAATATCCCCGCAAAACGCGCCACAAACTCCGGCGTAATGGCTATGGAAAGCGGAGTCCAATTCCTCCCCACAACGTAGCAGAGTTCAGCCACTCCGAGACGCGGCACAACTGCGCACACGTTGACAATGTTCTTTTGCAAACTATCACCCCGTCGTGGTAGCAATTTTCCCTAACTTAATGACCCATATCACTGGCTGTGACTCGCCCTTTGTTCGTCGTAAAAAACCCTTCAGAGGACCACTTGCCTTGCCTTCTCTTCGCCTTAGTTGGTAGTCGGTTCGGTCACGTGATTTTGTGTGTGTCGATAGCCGGGCATCGTTCGCGTCTAAGCCACTAGCGCGTGTCTACCGTAACCCCCTCTCGTCCGTTCCGAGTACAGCGCCTACCCGAATACGTGCGCCTAGGAACGTTCTCACGCTCGCTCAAATTTCCGTCTTACCGGCGCGTACCCCGGGCTACGCTAACGCCACCACGTCAGCGCAAATCCGTTCGATTGGCCAGCATTTCAAGCCGTTATCGTAGGCGTGCTCCAACCGTGCCAGTGACAATCGTATCATTCGTCCCACAAACGTAACAGTGGCTCATTGGTGCGCCCGGTGTCCGAACCGTTTGCTGTGGTGCAAGGCAGGACTTCACATTGCTTGTGTTGATCATGGTAAGGCCGAGCCGCTGACTTTGCGTCGTTTTTGCGTGTGGATCTGCCATCTGCATTTCTGTGCCATTTCCGATGCACTTACAACTTAGATTTGAGTGGATGTCTGCCTTATCAGAATTTCAGCCCATCCATCCTTTTCTTCTACTCGTATCTGGGGAATTCTTGTGTTACCGTGTCTAGTAGCTTACTTCAAGGTACCAGATGTCAGCCTTCATTGCATCACCCATACGGAATCCCTTCTCAGTTGGAAAGAGTTATCCACCTTTGTGTGTTCACGTTTTTACTCTTCCTTGTGTCGCTTATAAGTAGCGGCTTTTTATCGTGCGTTCTTTGCATTGACTTCAAGTCAGTCTCCGAGGTGCGCGGGAAAGCTCCCTAACAATACTCACCAGTTCAGTTGAACAACTATGGTTCAGGCACCAAAGTGCGGTGGATCCAGTTGTCACCACTCGCGCACTCTTTGGTTATACCAGGATTGGAGCGCATGAGTCACAACATCATCGACTCAAGCTGTCTGACCATGATTGACCACTGCTTACCGTCATGGTTTACAAACAAACTACGAGATATTGCGACACATCCTCCACTCTCATACAATTTACTAACTGCAGTAGGCTGTGTTGAACCGTTTCCTGGTGACACGAGCCTCTGGCGTCCGGAGGTTATGGGATAACTTCTTGGTGGAGTCGGGAGATACGCATTACAGTCGACTTCTATTAGGGTGAAACGTGTGTGGGGCTTTAACAGAGCGACTGCTGTACAACTTTTTTGTATTTGCCGACTAATTAGTGCCGCTTAAATCGAGCCTAGTTGCACAATCAGGTTAGACACTAATATAAATGATACTGTTGTACAGATAAGAATGATATATAAAAGAGAAAGACTTATCGCATGTGCTTGTATGGTGGTTGTGAGTCCAAGTCGGATCCTGTGCGGTTCCGACGACGGCCACGGCGCGCTCTAATCACGTATATGGAAATATACACGCTGGTTGTCCGGTCGTCCAATTGTGCCTGATGCGTCTTGATGCGACTAATATCCCCTCTATGAATTGGTGTGAGATAAAGTTCTTCCTCAATCACCCCTGATTGTCACGTGCTTGGGCACGCAGCGTGATCATGAATAGAGATCAAATGTATTTCTGACTTCTACGTGTGGTTCATGTGGTGTGTTGAACGGGCGTAATGTCATTGTTCAAGGAATGAGCTCAAATGGAAAGTTCAATTCCGAAAAATCTACTTGTTTTAGAAGATGGTAGATGGACCTATTTCGACACTTGCCGTACATTGGTTTGCTCCGACTTGATACTTTATCGTCACATTTCTTCTCTTTGCTACACCATACTTTATTGTCTGCTTGTGTTCCACTGGCTGTTGACTGTTTTCTACACGTTGGAAGTGCGGGGCATCGGAGGACGGGGTGGGTGTCACAGCTATCTACTAAGCCATATCCACCTAGTGCCATCAGTTAATAATGCATCGTCAAATGGAAGGAATGACGTCCAGATATCGTTTCGTAGTTCAGAAGGAACGAGAACAACCGGCGCTTTTCAAAAGCTTAAGCTTACTTTCTGTTGCTCTTCCAGGTGTACATTTAGCCCCATATGACCAGCATTAGATATGACAAAGCCCCTTTGTAGTTCACGTGGCACTTTGTTTATACAGTCAAAACTGTCTAAGGCGATCACTCAAGGGACCGACAGAAGGTGGTCGCCTTGGACAGGTTCATGCATAGGGGACATTACTCATAGGAGAAAACTTTGGGGGTTTTTATGGCTGGTCGCCATAGCAGGTTGGGCTGCACCATATGTCCCAAAAGTCTGGTCCCTCTACTCTGTTGATGCGGGACAACGGGTCACTCCTTCGTATATGAGTTAGAGCGTACTAAATTACCAGCTGTCCAATAGTAGATGTTGGTCTATCTCAAAATGTCTCACCCGGTCACATGCATGTGGGTACATGCGTACTTGCCAGTGTCGTCCATCGTGAAAACGTTGGATCAGGAGCGGTTGGTTGAGTTGGAGTCAACCTACGGCACGCCACAAGGCGAGTTCACCGATCAATACATACGGTCTGTCGGGCTGGTTGAAACGGAGACAGGTGTGCAAGATCGAAACAGCAGTGCATAATTACCGGGCTACTGTGGTAGAATCGTGGTGACGCTTGGACAGGCGTAACTGACCTGAGCAATGAGTGTGCCATTGGTGCTTAATGTTATCCCAGCTAATGACAAATGGGTTATTAGTAGCGCTCTTGTAGACTGAGTTACCTTCCAACAACCTACCTTAGCAAAATGTGCATCGCTTACAATTAAGCCTTGCAAATATGAAATGTGACGTTTTGAGAAACTAGTCTTGAAAAGCTATGTCTCCTAAGACTACTCGCTGCCGCATGGCCTATTCTCCCGTCGCAGCCTTTATCACCGATGTATGAATAAGGTCGTTCTACGCCCGTGTCACCGGGTGACATTTTGAGATAGACCAACATCTACTATTGTACAGTTGGCAATTTAGTGCGGTCTACCTCACACTCGATGGAGTGACACTTTGTCCTGCATTAACAAAGTAGAGGGACCAGAATTGTTGAAAATATGTTACTTCTGAAGCACCAGTCACATTGAACGTGTAGGGTTGCGCATGAGTACCCAACTTTTTGAGGAAATTGTACTACTTACAATGTATGAGTAAGTAGATTTTCTTGGCAACTTCCTAGCCATTTTCTCACAGGCACGCACGATCGATTCCCGTACGATCCACCCAATTCTCAGTATGAACAACGGCGCGACAAATTTGGGTTTATCTAAATTTCTTTCGCCTTGGCTCAGTAAAATTTAACCCCCTCCCTTGATATTCTTCGTTTTACCGTGTAACATCTACCGAATTTCGCGTTCCCTTGGATTGCGTATTAGTGAATCCGTTGCATTTATTTGCCTGCAAGTACGCTTTTTCGCTGTGACGGCTTGCATATAACGTAGTGCTTCCATGGCAGTATGTTATCCCTCGACCGACTGGACAACAGTAATGGGGGTGTTTTTTAGTCTCCATTTATGCAGCTGTACGCATGATTGTTTTGTTTTATTCCCTCCAGACGAATATGTCACTACTTCCTGTGCATCCGAGTTATCTATTTGAATCGCAATCTGCGGTGGATTCCGGTAAGAAAACGTTGAAACCGGTTTCTACGGATGCAATGGTACGCATGGAATTTCACGTTGAGGCGGTTTTGGACATGATTGCCCAGATCGACGATCAAACACCGCCGGTCCCAGCGGACCACAAAGCTTTAACCGCATCTGTACAAGGTATAGGCAAATGTCGGTTTTCGCACACCATTTCATTTCCTGTTCGAAAATAATGCTACCCCCTTTAATGTTATGTGTTTGTTTCAGACAGTTGGGACATGTTTGATGCGAAGGTTCGCGAACGCGTGACCGATTTGGATAACTCCGAGGCAAGTATTCCTTCATCTTTTTACAAGCGATACATGTTTCATTTTTACAAGGAATTCATTTTGTACAACCTTGCGTGGCATTTCCTGATACACTCTTTGAGGTTCACGGTAATTGCAACTCGATTTGCCTCGTGTTGAACACCGCTTTACTTGGTTCTGATGCGTCCCATATGTCCTTCCTCGTCACCACCCACTATTTTTGTGCATGATTTATGGCGTTTTAGCCCACCCTACTGCGTATTATGCATGTACCATGTGCGAAGATCATCATCACGATTACTGATCTCAGCTGTTACTTGTCACCCTTGCTTTCGTTTGCCTCTATTCTAAATTGTGTCTCATGCTGTGATTGATGTTGCATACATCAAACTTCTTTGCCGCATTTGGGCTACACCAACCTTCACTCAAGCTAGATCTTCTTAATCTGGATAATAAGTATTCCATCTTGTTTAACTTACTCAGTTTTATTATTCTGTTTCATTCTCTGTGTCAACTTTTGCTCGTTTATTTTCTTTCAAATTCTCTGTTATCTGTTTGATATCCCCAAAGTGGCTGCGCTTGATGTGAATCTTGACAAGGTGCCTACCCATCTAACGTTCCACCTCGATTGATGGCCCCAGGAGACTGTGAATCGTTGTTGGAGGGGACAGGATATACGGTCCTCGTGGCCGCACTATTCTCAATGTATGGTTCCATCCAGTGTGGAGCCACCGATTTGTGCACGTTTACTACGCATGATTTCCAACTTAGATAGACAGAAATGTTGCTGCTGTGCATTTTGAAGGGGTGTGGGACGGCTCCGTTGATGATATATGGCTCCCATACACATGCCTCCCCGTCTTATTCCTTCGGGTTTGCACTGTATTTGGTGTGTTTGGGTGTTGCAGCGCAAATAACCAATAGTCCTTCTGTAGGCGCAGGCGTCCTATGGCTGTCCATGTGGAGGTCACAGCGACAGCCGAATCCGGAACCTGATGCTGCCAACCATTCTAAGTCAGGATTTCATTATATAACGAACCTCCTCCCTTTCACTACCTCGTGTGCACCTCTGGCATCTGCTTTCATTTATGCTATGTTTTGTATCACGTACTTGACCAATACTCGCCTCTAACCAAGTTTCTATAGCATTGTCTCCGGAGGCAAGTAATAATCTACCTTGGACTCTACTCTGAACTCGTTATAACGAGTGGAATGCGCCCGGGCTGCCTTCTTCAACTTGTGCACGAAACCCCCACGAGTGACTCCATCCAGTATTTTCACACTCGTTCTGACTTATTGGTTCTGTTTTGAGGCCGGTCATCCAGGCGAGATTACACAGATGACACAACCCAATATTAACTTGTAAGCATTCCAGTTGGCGAAAGAATTTGTTTTTGACGATTCTCATCGGACCATTACACTTGTAGTAACTAGTTAGAACATTTCAATAACTGATTAATCTGGGCTACGATTAGTTGGATCTTAACAGACTTCATTCCAACTTTCCAATCGATGATGACTGTCCCGCAAATGGATATGCACACACACACACACACACACATGCCCTCTCGACCCAAGCACGAGGCGGGTTTCGTGTACCCCAATCTGGACTGACGACAACTAGTTTAGTCGTCACTGACTTCATATCTGGTGGGAGAATCAAGTATGTGATATTGAATTTGATCAATGGTGTTTGATAACAGCACCTCCAATGCCTCATTAGAATCGATCGAATCAATCTCGGTGGCTGGATCATGCCAGCAACTCGACTGTAACTAACTGGATGAGATTACAAGGTGGTCTGTCCATGACATGTCGGAAGAGCATGAGGAAGCGCATCGAAGGACTGCTTCAGGCTGGTGCCTGTCTTCCCCGACAAATTCCTCAGGATCGTCTACATCAGTATTTGCATTCGTTCTCCCTTTTCTAATCTTTACTACTCCATTGGTCTGCTGCTACTAATATCATTTTCTTTAACATTATACCCACACGCATATTATTTTGGCGAAGTGAATTATGATGGATGGATCCACCGCACTTCGTTGCTCGGATTATAGTTATTTAACTGAAATTAGTTCATTTGTACTCGTACACCTGATCTACAGACTTCCGTTCCACCCAAGTCAAATTCCTTCCGCAATACCCGCGCGTCCTTGGTTATTATCTTGACTTCAATAACACCCTAGGAGAAGGAGTATATGATGGATTCCTGTTCACTCGTCTACCGTTCCTGTTACACCGCGTTTACGCTGGCTGTATGTTTGTAGCTTCAGATGATCTACTATAGGTCGCCCATAGTCTCTTGATAGATACCAATGTCGTGAGGATGTTGGCGGTCTCAGCGATAGGCACTGGCTGCCGTACACGGAACTTATGCACTTACAAGACTGCGTGTGCTCAGTAAAGCTGAACGGTCCAGAGCACTGGCTTGTACCTCACTTATCTTCACGGTCGTGCTCACTGACGCAGGCATCAGTAGTAGGTCTCGCTGCCGCGCAACCATCACCAGTCGCGAGTGGGCTACGGATACTGCGAGGGCCAAACGTCCCCTACCCATACTCGAACCCCCGCCATCGGATTACGAGTCAGGCTTGTGATCCCTAAGTCTACAGTTCAACCCCACTGATGCTTGCGATCAAAGAATCTGAGTCCCAATGTGCTGGACGTCCCTCCTTCGTTCTTATGGATGCTTCGGTGCCTATTTGGGTGAATCAGGAAGTCTGCGGAACGATGATATGGGGAAAAGACCTAAAGGGGTTGACCGAGAGACGTAGTCAGGAGCACATGAATCAACTTCATTTGGATTCAGAGAACCTCTTACCCTTGGTCTACGCACGTTAAGTCCACGTAGGCTTTATGCACTCCAATGGGCTCATTGTAAACACTCTGAAATGAAGTGTCATTCAAAACACACGAATGAAAAATAAAACGAAGCATGTTCGCAATTTTCACTCCAGCGGCATTCGCTCACACAACACACTTGTAATTTTTATTAAGTCCAAAAGTAAACGTGGTCGTTGCGGTTAGACTGTATTACTATAGGACGAATTTCGAGAAGATAACTCTTCGATTTCTGAATACACTTAAGAAACAGATAGCGTTTCTCATCCACCGCTGCGGAGTGTGTGGAATCAGTCGGTTAGGACCTTGAGCGAAAGTTGCTCATTAACTTGAGAATCTCTGGATAAATCAATGCATCTATTAATGGTCTTAATTCACTTCTTACTCAAGGTACCTGTGCAAACGACGGTAGCATAGTATACCCAATGTGTGACAATACATACATTCAAAAACTCAAATATTACTCTGCAGTTTAGTGAGCGCATCTTAAACCTAAGGGCACAAAAGATAACCTGCTTTTAAAAAATATTTCACAAACATGTGTGGTCCAGGATAGCTCTTTGGACACTCATTGAACGAGGTATGCTTACTTCGCTCAGAAATGTATGTGCGGTGGTTATTTATAATAACCTCTCGACTCATCAGCACTTAAAATCAGTTAGTTATGTTAAAATTGACGGATCTGATAGCTCCTGAACCCGTAAATTCAAATTTTCCTAATTGCATATCTTCCTGCTCTTTTAGATTTCCAACTTTTCCGTGTGTGTGTGTTCCGTCTCATTTTATCCATCTGTCCTGCCCCATGCTGAGGCTGATGTTGCATTCTTGATGCTTCTTCACCGCAGTTGGGCTAAACCAACTTACACTCAAACTAGGTCTTTTTATGCTGGATAAATTTCATTCCGCTTTATTTGGTTTGTTCTGCCTCCCTGAATAATGTTCTATTAACTGGCCACGTTGCTTACACTAATTGCCCTTATCTTCGGTAATTTTGTTGCGTTTTGTAGCATTTTTAAGTAACTTGTGGACATTTCTTACATATCACGGATTTGTTGTTAACGCACTTACTTCATATGGTAAATTAGCGAAGAGTTATGCCACCGTATCTGTATGCATTGTTGGATTTATTTTATTTCAACTTGTCGTTTAAAGTGAATGGCTGTTGTTTGATATCCCCGGTGTGGTTGCGCTTGATGTGTATGTTGACAAGGTGCCTACCTGTCTATTACTCACTACCTCGTCCATACTGGCTCCAGGAGACAGTTGGTCGTTGCTGGAGGGGACGGGGTGCACGGTCCTTTCGGCCATGCTGGGCTCGAAGAGTGGTTCCATGCACTCAGTGTGGAGCGGACTACGGTCCAGCCACCGCCTTGTGTGCGCTTGATTCCTTAAATGCAACGTGCTTGTATTTGCCTTTAAAGGAGTGTGGTCCGGCTCCATTGTTGAAATGTGGCTCCCATCCACATGCCTCCCGGTCTTATTCATTCGGGTTTACACTGGATATGGGGTGTTGTGGATGGAGCTATGGGTGGTGCAGCGCAAGCCATCCATGGTCCCTCTGTAGGCGCAGGCGTCCTGTGGCTGGCCACAGTGACAGGCAAATCCGAAACCGGATGCCGTCAACCATATATATATCCATTTGTCCTCTGTTCTTATCGTCTCGATGTCTATCGGATTCATCTCACTCGGAGCCTCATATGACATTTAAACTACCAAATTGAACTGGCTCTCGCACTATTTGGTCTCTCATTTGGCCTTTTAATAGTGTGAGATTGGCGAGTGTTGGAATACCCTCCGCTTGAATCCTAATGCGGTATTAGGACTTCATTTCACACAAATCGCCTTCTTTAAACCGGATCACAAGTTTTTTCCAACCAGTCAAATCGGGCTTCCCTCCATATCCGCATTCTCGTCTCTTCCGCTCTATTCTTTTTCTGTTCTGTTTTGCCCATTCACAGTTCGAGAAGCGTCTAGCGGATTACTATCTGGCCTCAGTCGAATACGATCTCACCGAACCGTTGACGATCAACCCCGCTCACACTACCCTCACCAATCCAATTGCACGGTTGGACCAACTGCCGACCGGACGTTACTCCGAATTCCTCACCGATCACGCGACTGGTACAGACACTGCCAGCACCAACGCACCTCCATGGTCTGCACACACTCTCACCGATCCGAGCCGCCTCCACAAGAGTGGGGCGGCCAGCATATGCGCCTCACTCTTGTCGTCGCATCTCACTCGGACACAGCCCTCAGTTAGGGTGCTCGGTCTCAGCGTGCAGAGTGCAGAAGCCACTGACTCGGCGGCCTCCATCGTCCGAGTTGATTATCGGCAGGCCGAATCCACCCCGCGCGTCGGGAATGGGTTCACGCAATCCATCGACACTGGAGAAATGTCCACGAGACGACCCGTCGTTTGTCTACACTCACAAAAGGAGGATACGGTGGAACGTGTGGACTGGGTACGTGAGTTCAGGTGTTGGTACGATGGTCTGCGATGAAAATATTGTATCCATACAAGTAATACTATCTCAGTTTAACTCATTGCGATGGTCTCGTTGAAGTGCAGAGATGCGGATGAATGCGGCGGAACTCGTGCTTGTGTGCCCAATAATGCTTAGCTAATTTGCTTGCTTGTCCTCGAAATGCACCATACACACCTGAGTAGGCACTAGTACTTCACTACTGGATTTGCAATTAGCATGAAGCATAACGTGGGTGTTTGTCAGCTCGTCTGTCGATACACTGATAAATACTAATGATGGTATAGGTGCCAAGATTGAATAGGTTCGCTAAAGCCTGCTTAGGTCAAGAATTTGTTAATTCCATCTGCGTTAGAATGGTCGGAAAAATTCATAGGTAAGCGGGATTGAAGCGGCAGGATTGTATCACATCAAGACTATGCTCCAAACACGGTCCTGAATTGCCCTCAGTTGACTGGACCGGTGTCTCGATTACGATGAAACATGCAGAATCGTCGTCTGCTTAGTCGGCTAAATCGTCGCATTGTGTAGGGATAAGACCGCGTGGCAAAATGGTGTCTAAATCGAAGCTCCGTCACAGACAGGGATTCGTGATCCTTCAGATGTGGCAATATAATGGGCCATATGAATCCAAAGGAATATTTTAACACAAGGGAATGTAAAGTGCAAGTGTTGATCCTCTGATTGCGAACTGATGATCTTGCATGGTGTATTTAAGGGTAAAATATGTGAAAATGTTTTTGTGGTAGTGCGGAAAGACAAACCCAGTGGTTCAGGCCGAAAAAGACGATTTCTGTTGCTACCAGTGGCTATATTGTGCTTTTACACCTGTAAGCGAAGTCAGGGACCTTTCCTGTTCATCTTGGGTATTTCAGAAGGCTCGGCACTTCTTATATTTTTTCGCACACTTTTGTACTCCGTACATTCGTGTATCTCTAGTTCCGACTGAAAAGCTATACTTATCTTCAGTTATGCATGCATTCGAATGTACACTGCGACCAGTTCCGCCATTGACGTCCGGTGTCTTGTACTCCGGAGGTCACCGGTACGAATCCGCGTAGTTGCCGGCTACCTAGCGGTACATCCAGCCAACGCGCTTCGGTTGCTAGTCGCGTGACAGCGAAGAGTCGGCACGATCTATCTTTCATCCCCATGGGCGCATGTATGTGCGCCGCATTATGCGAGTACCGAGTATACGAGGCTTGCCGAGCAACCTCCTCGTGGTGCCAGCTGGGTGGTTCGGGATTTTCCCGTTCCAGCAAATGCTTCGGCGGCAGTGTTCCAGGATGTGGTGGGTTTTCGCCTGGCAAGCGTTCTCCACATATGTCCGTTTAACAACACTGTGACGTGGCGGACGTGCCTCGCCACTAAATAAAGTCACTGCCCCTTGCTTCATCCTGGCGAAGCATTGTATTCCAGCAACGTCATGCTGTACTTCTGGGGAGCATTGGGCCCCTGTTTGACAAAGGAACAAACGAAAGGCGTATGGACTGAGCAATCAGTCACCGGCTCCCAATGGGCACGATTCCCTGAATTCGCTCCGCTGCCTTGCGGACAGGCTATTCAACCAAAGGCTCGGGGTGGTGTCCCCTAAGTCAACACCCTACTTCGGCTTGGGCAACCGGGTAGTATCTCGCCCTCTGACGAAACCATGGACATTGTTGTGTTGCGTTTTATTTTACTATTTCTGTACCTCCGTTTGAATCCCATGGTTTCCGATGGCATTATGTCTATTCGTTGACTTTTGCAAATATATATATATATATATATATATATATATATATATATATATATATATATATATATATATATATATATATATATACGAGGTATACTGAATACTGGTTAGAAGCAGCGACTAGAGCTTGCTCTGTGTAGCTGCATCCGTCGTCATTCATGGACAAATACCCGTTATATTGTGTTCCGGTCGATATATTTTGCGTCGGCAAAGTGTTTGTCCAGGAATTTCTTAAATTCTTGCACTCACTTTGCCTCTACTACGTGCTGCGGCAGTTCGTTTCATACATTCACCACTCTGCGTCCGAAACAAATTTGGTGAGCGACCCACTTCAAATCCGGTACTACAAGCTTATACCGGTGTCCTCGTGTGCTGTTTGGTTTGCGCAGATGAAGCAGTGGTCTCAACATGGGGTAATCACCTAGATGTAATATCCGGTGAGTCCTGATGAGGTTCACCCTCATTCGACGATAAGCTAGGGTGTACAGCCCTAGTTTCTTACACCGGTCTTCGTACGGCACACCTCGTAACTTGTGACTCAGCCTGGTAGCTACATGCTGCACTCGCTCAATCTTTTCTACCTCACCCCGGATGATAGGACAATACGCGGGAGAGCCATATTCTAGGATTGGTCTTATTATTGAGATGAAGCGGCGAGTGGCATTCTCTTCGGACCAAGTGCTGGAGCTGCGCCTGAGCGCACAAAGCATCCGAAGGCTGTTTTGGTAAATCCTATTCATATTGTTCATGCACTTTAGGTCGCAGCGTGAGAGTACACCGAGGTCGCGCACGAAAGGCGCGGGATGCAACGGTTGCCCAGCCACCGTGTATGTTCGACTGTGCTCACACTTACCCAGCCTCATGAATTGCGACTTGACCGGATTGATCGATAGATGACCTGGTCCGCCTATGCAGTCCTACTTCAATAAACAATACATCTCCACATTGTCCGTTGTTGCTTTACTCCAAATGACAAACTTCAGTATTGATCATTCGGCTGTTCTACCGTATGTTAGTCACGTCGTTTCACAGATCAAACAGTGCCAGCTCCTTGCTCTCTTCAGCAACCGCTGGCAGCCCCATAGGGCGATGCAGGCCACACTACTGTGTTGCACACTTTAGTGCCTCTACCTCCCACAATACTACTCACCTAGAAAATAATATTACCTTGTGTTTTTCTATTGTACACCGATATTCAGTCTACAGTAGCTGGCGGCGACTGAACGAAATGGCAAAAAACTCACAACACAAACGCCGCTGAGGTTGGATCTTGACCATACCAGCAATTGTCCAACCAAGCTCGTTCATCGCTTTTGGGACCCAATACCAGGAGTAGGGAGCCACACACCGTAGGTCAAGTTCGGAAGGATGACCTTTATTTCTCTTGATCAAATCATTGGTCGCTCTCCTCTCTTCTTCTTTCATCGACCTCTTGACCGCACAAACAACGCATGTCGCGGGAATCGGTGTACTCGTATGCGTAGCACGTAGCCCAGCCATCAGATTCTGATGCGTGAACTAGTAATACTGAGTGATTCCCTAGCCCTTTTTGCTCCCAAACATGGCTGCGAACACGCTCATTGCCCACACCGTGCTCCCACCGAATGTGGGTCAAACGTCGAAGGCAGCGGTGGTTGAGCGCAATTAGCCTCCTTACCTCTATCCCTCTGATAGGCCAAGTTTCGCAACGGACAGCTGCATTGTAAAGTCTACCCTACTGGACGAGAGTGATGTCGCAGCGAAGATTATCAAAAGCTCAAGATAATACTAGACACTTTTTCGTCTCACGCTTTATTCCACATTCTTTACACAGCTGCCTAGGTAGTTGTATTTCTGGACGACCTTGTGAATCCGCACCCAAGATCAGCACAGATGTGATCTCCGCCATTCCCGCGAACATGTATGACTTGACAAGTCAAGTCAAGATAAGCTTTATGTACAGCATTTTCAGCATTTTACAGCATCAAATGCGGAGTAATTAAAATGACATCTTAACAAATGCAAAATTTTATAAATGGATACAGAAAAGAGAACTGGGCGCATTGTTGTCACTCGTGTAAAAGCCCCGCGTTCCGATGCACTGTGTGAATATCGATAATTAGAATCATCGTGCTTTTTTCAACCAACCGAGTATAGTTTTGTGAGGTCAGTTCTTCTTAATTGTTTTTAAATCGCCAAGCATTCGCGGCCAAAATCAGCAGAACGAGAACAGTGCGCGGTATCTGGCCTTTGCATTCAAAATACCGGTTTTGTTGACCTTGCAAGTACTTTGGACGAAAAAGCTATCAAATTATTCCTATAGAACTTATTATATCTGCGGTCGATAAAGTAAAACTGATGTTCACTGAAAAGGCAACGGGCGATTTAAAGGCCCCGCCCTACTACATCACTGGGCTGGGTGTGTAATGCGTTCTTTGTATTTGGGACGGAAGCCAGCCTTTTACATGGGTCAATGAACCGAGGAGTTAACGTGCATCTGGGTTATGTGGAAGAACGTGTCAGGTTGGTAGTACAATGAGTTTTCCAGGACGCTCACTGGGATTTGAATTACGATTGTCAACAGCCGGTCAGATGGCACATCATTCTGTAGTCCCAGTACATTCACTGCGGTCCATTTGTCGTGTGGGTTGGCTGCACCTAACCAATCTGGAAGTTAGACAGCGTGTCTTGGGTGAAGGCAACTACTCGCTCGAGGAGCTCGTCTTGCTGCGTCAGCTTCGGTGGTTTAGACACGGACTGCGCATACCTGCTCGTCGTCTTCCGTGTCGTGTGTTGTTCGCAGTTGCTAGACAGGACTGGAGGAGACGGAGCGGTGGACAACCTACAACATGGAAAAGCTGACGAAACAGTTGACTTCAGTCGGTTGTTCTCGATTCCCTGATTGGGATTTCAGAGTGTCGCTGGTGGAAGACCGACGTCAATGTCGGACGTGTATCATTGCGTGTTACGGTTATTTCCCTTCCCCAATAAAACAAGCAATTAAACATGTCAAAGGCGGTGAGTGGACAACTAGTGAAAATGTTGCATCTTCAATTCCTTTTGGTATCATGTTTTATTATTCCGCTATGATTCTGATGGAATAATATCTGTACCACAGATTGTGATATATATATATATATATATATATATATATATATATATATATTCACTAGGGAGCCATCATCGTCCTCCAGCAAATATGGTGAAAGTTAGTCTAGGCCAAGGGGTTTGTTCTACTCCAGGCGAGCAAGCTCACGGCCTGTGAATGTTCTTACGTCATTGTCCTAATCAGGTTCAGGTGACTCAGCTAGCAATTCTGATACACCGGGCTGAATAAAATGCTGTGCTATCTTCGGTGTTCTAGTTGTTGCGATTGAAAGCAAATCATGTTCACCTCTTGGCCATTGGATCATTCTTGGCAGGCTTTCTGTGACCCTTACGTTTGGGAGGACATCCTAACCTTCATCTCACAGTTCTACACTCCAGTCAGATGCTATTTCAGTTGTTAAGGTCAATATGAAACTGACCACCACCCGATGGAGCCATGGCCTCCGCTGCAATCAAATTGATCTATGCATCTAAGTCTTCTTACTCTTCAGACCAATAAATATGGACGCACAGGCGGCTTCGAGTAGTTTTCCACTGTGATTTCCCTCTATAATCCGATTTGCAATCATTTCGTCAACTCTTCTCTTTAGCGACAGTTAGCTTGCAATGGTCTGATAAGTTGAGCGCTTCGCCGAGGCCGGAATGATGAAATTCCTAACTTTCTGTCACATTCACGTGCAACAGATAAACAGCACCTTCTCCCGTTACCCGTTCGACATTCAGACATTCTTGTTATATTTTCATGTCCACTTCCTGAACGCTTGTGTATCTTTTTGTATTGTCTCACTGTTTTATTCATTCTATGTCAAATCATACTTCCACTGCTTTATACCATTAAGTGTGTCAGCCTTTCGAACGGTGTGTTCTCTTATTCTTTGCTCTCTTTTGTCTGTTTGTGCAAATCCAGTTTGGATCACTCTTCGTCAGCTGGCATTGCCTCGCTTGTTGATGAGCTTGCCTGTTGTAACCCTACCACTTCTCTGCTCTCTGCCTGTCAGCTGTACGCCGTAACGGCGCTTCGCTGCCGCGCGACCAGCACCAGTGGCGCGCGGGCTGAGTATATCGCGAGGACGCCCACCCCTACGCGGATTCGAACCGGTGACCTTATGGTTGGAAAGCAAACGTGCAGACCACTCGGCCACCGGCCGGCTGATACTACGTCTAACCCAATCGGGGGAAACAGTAGAGAAGATTTAACGAACGTGAATGTATTGCTAAGAGAGAATGGTTATATTTATAAGCCGCACACACACTTTCTCGCCTGTACCTTTCAATCCGACTGTACTTTGCTTGTTCGCCTGACGATTACCTGTCTGCTCAGGGTCTGAAGTATTTGACTTCCTGCAAACTCGGCCTATTGCGCTCCCCGCTCACCACTGCCACATAGCAACCCATGCCATCGATAATAGACTGATTTCGTCAACTGCCCGCTTCGCGTCTTGAAACCATGTCTCGGCGTTCATCCATTGCGGTCACCTAACATGGCCGCTTTACCATGCGTGTCCTTTCCATAGATTCGTCCTTATGTTGTTCTCATTTTCAGAAATCGTTCCTATTTGTTGATCTCACCTGTGCGAGAGCCCATTTATGGTCGATTGCATTGTTGTATTCAGTCGTTCGAAATGCTGACTCTAGTCATTAGCCCTAACCTATGCGACTGCACCGACGGCCTCATGGCACCTATTTTGGTAGTGGCCGACGGTTCGGAAACATTAAATAGACAGATGGTTTACATGAGGACCTCATCAATTCCATATCACCAATAAAATTGGATCGCCTGTGTACGATTGGCCCACGGTATGACATCGATGGGACAGAGAAACGCGATTGGCTTGTGTGACGGGAGAGACCGAGCAGTCTGCGGGTAGCGGGATTCGGGTCACAGAACGGCGACAAATGAATCGCAAAACGGAACGCAACCCACATTGGTAGATTCACTACACTCTGTTTTGTATCTACGCTTCTGCTTGCTTTTGTTTTGACTATGCCATTCAAATACCAACGCTCCACCTTTACACGCGGACCACTTCACCTTACTCATCGTCTTATTATTATACTCTATTCGTCGTTTCTCCCCTCAGGTTGTACTCTGTGCATCGCCACAAACCCTACGGTTCATCTTCGCGGACGAAGTTCCCAGCACCCTCACACAGCCTGTTTGTGAGTCGGAGACAACCCATTCCGCTTCGGCGGAGACGTTTTTCGTGTGTCTACCTAGCAGTTTGAAACGCGTCGTTTTGGCAGAGGAGCCAGAGAATAACTGGAATGCCAAAGAGCCTCACCCAGATGAGACCCTTGTGGAGTCCGTCGACATCGTGTCAGACACCACAGCGCGACTGATCACTGTGACCTTGATCTACTCCTCCGCTTGGTGGCGTCCAGCTCTTGCGGAGGCCAGTTCCGAGCCAGCTATCGCTTTTGGCATAAATCACGCTGGCCGTTTGAGCAACTCCTCGGTAGTGCACGGGGATGTGCTACATTACTTCTCTTTTTTGCCCACAAGCAGAAACTGCCGTTCCTTCTGTCACATGTTCCGGGACGTGTGTCCATCGGTATGTGCTTCACTGTTGTGCGTGTTCTCTCCATTAAGTTAAACCTTGCCATCTGGACAGTGCGTTCTAAGGATCGGCGGACCGGACTTTTCGATTGATCTCTAGCTTGCTTTTTCCACTACGTTATCAATCAACTCAATGGCTTACCCGTGATAGTGCTTCTCTTGGTTTGTGTAGTTCATCACAATTAGATCATAAACTAGATAAGTCAACTATCATTCCGGAAAGGTATCAGACTCCCGCTTCGTCAGTTGTGCGCATTCCCTCGGTCCCCTTCAGGGAACCGAGCTCTTGACCACGCCGCTAGCCATCAACTTATACCACTGTGCGATGGGGAACGATGGCTAACCATTGGATTGCAATCTAACTGCGATATAGCCCGACCCATCTTTGACGTGTCGTGCAGGCCACTGCTTATGCAGAGGGCACTGGTTGGCCTTCGATACCAGTAGCCGTGCATCCACACAGCGTTTTGAAAACTTGTAGTGCTAATATTTGACTACTCATAAGTAGAATGATTAATGTCATTTATTTAGGCCATTGCAGACTAGCGCAAGCTCTTCTGATCTTAGTGACACTCCTGCTCAAGTATCTGCACTCCCATATCGATTTATATACCACAAAGATAGCCTATGTTTGTTGGTATGATATAATTTAATAATGATGTGGAACAGGTAGTGTCTGACGTTTAACAGGTCCCGTAGTCTGGTCGAGATAAATACCAAAATCAGCGAGTGCGCACTAGTGAACTCATCGTATTCATATAGGAACGGTTAAACGTCCACCTTGTTCAAATTTTGAAATACACGCTTGTTTGCGTTACCTATCCTGTTGATGGACTCGAGTTGTGTAGTGAAGTGTAACTAGCGCAATTCGCTGTCAACTCGCTTTTTTAATATCGCTGGATTGAGGGCAAAAACAACTTACGCTGGAAACGCGTTCCACGTCTGGCACGTTGGAAGGGAGAAGTTTCGACGGTATCCCAGCTGCATGTACTGATGACCTTTCAGGTCGATGTTACGACTGAGCTCCATGAGGAGCTAGCAAATGCGATTGGGGTACTACCGGGTTTGCTACGTCATTTTGAGGGCCCTGCACACGTGCTGTTATCGATCGCTATACACTCTGTGGGATTTTAATCCAAATTGGTAGGGCACGTGGAAAGTGCCCTTGGGATCTTTAGATGCGCTTCCTCATGGAGTCTCGAGCGCAACGAGATCGTGCTGCTAGGAATGTCACGCTTAAACGGAATACTTCACATGAGTTCCGCGCAACTGTTTGTGGAAAGTTTGTGGGGTCAAAGCGACCAAACGTTTCTCACAAGTGGCTGAGTTGTGGGTTGCCGATTTTCGGCGTTTTTTCCGTTTGTTGTGAGCATCCGTGATCACACTGAACCGGTATCCTTAATTGATACTCCTGGGATGCTTTATAAAAGGTGATATTCAAGTTTATCTACTCTCGTCGGCTGATTTATACGAAAAACCTTACATTTATTCACGTTCAGCTAGTACAGGCTTTCCATTAATCATTCATAAGCCCCGCTCAAGTTCTACTGAAGTGCAGTTTCAGGTGGGAGCTCATTTTTGTGAGTTCGTCATCAGATTGCAATCCGCTTCCATCTCATTGGTACACTGTGCGCTTGTCGCGTGCGTGCGTATGTGTTTATGTACTGCGGCCACTTTTGCTTCAATCTCCATGTGACTCAGGTAACTTTCGTCTGCGCGCCCTTTCTCTTTTTATATACAGTTGTTCTTGTCATTTATTCGAATAACCGTCTCTCCTTAAATTTTGCACTATCGTGCATACGTCAAATAAAGCAAAGACACCCACAGCATTTAAAGTCGATGCAAGCGAACATGTTTTCAATCCTTCTTCATCAGGCTTTTACAATTATATGTGGGGGGAAACTGGTAGACACAACGTTGGGGTTGGTAAATTACGTTCAGTTCACGATCACTGATCAAGAACAATCGTTGTCCGTTAGGTCCCAACTGCAGTATGCACACAACCCCGTGGGCCAAGTGTCACGTTTCGAGCGGGCCAAAGCAGTCTAACCCTCACAACAATCAGCGACGGGTGTACGTAGCGAGTAACAAGACCAGTGGAACCTATGCAACCTGATCTATCGAGTTACCGAATCAATGTAATCAACCGCAGTCTACTACTCGTCTGCACACCTCACAGAGCGGTGGCAACGCTAGTTAGCATCATCAATGCACATTGACCGAGGGTGAGAAAGGAAACACTGGTGCCAGATGCACTGACCCGCAGGCAACAATGAATGGAATTGTGGAGACGTCAGGTTCCACTTCTGTGGAGGAGGAAGACAACTCTCACTGTGGTCTTCTGCCCAAAGCTTTTAAGATCCATGTAGATACTTCACGCTAGTGCAAAAGGTGTTACAGAAGTATTGTAGTGGTTCGAGTTCTCGCAATATTTAGACAAAGTTCAGAGGTGTTGGAAATGACGTCTCCGACCAAAGTAGACGAAATGGCTTATTGTGATGGCCCCTGGTCTTTATCTTCTCTTTCGTCTCTCAGACGTCATTCAAGGTTGTTGCAGCCATTCACTTTAGGGGACAAATAGGTGGAATAAAGCTCCCAGTTGGTACATTTTCGAGATGAACAATCTACCTACTTGTCTCGATGACAATGACCGTCGAACCTCAGTGCCGCATGATTCGTGCCGAAAACACTCGACGTGAATGAACTTCATGTAGTAATATTCAATATTTTCCATTATTGTCTATTTTGTTTCGAACATAATCCAAAACAATTTCATAGGGAACGGATCTGAGCTGGTATCATACACGTATGTGCATTTGGTGCGGCCGACTCCCTCACTCCTGCGATCCCATTGGATAAGACACTGTCACTATTTCTCCGACGCTCTTTCGTCAAAGATTATCAATGGATTTTCTTGTTTACTGTGGCGTGAGTCACCACCTACAACCCGTGTTCACACCCTGCATTGACCATGTCCGTGTCTATCTATCGATTACCCATTCACTAGTGGTTTGGCTTCAGTTACTCCATCGGTGCTCTGACCAGAATACACGTTTGCATGCTACAGCTGGTTAGGTTCTTTTGTCTTTGTGTCGTTCAGCTACGGGCCATTATTGCGTTCGCAGGCTAGCGTTATTTCCCCACATGTAGACTTTAACAGTTACCTTGTGTTTTTGGCCTCATTGGAACATGATGCTTGCCGCCGTTTTTGTACCACTTGTTTAGTTACCAACACGAAGAACGATAGTGACATCATTACGCAGCACACTGCATCCGACATTTCTCTTCACCTTCCCTACCTGTGCCCCTTCAGCTCAGCTCACCCGGCGTGTTGCAAACGCAGATTTTCGCCGCAGCCGCCGATCTTTGGTGGTCCAAACCTGATGCAGATCTCATCACTGCCGTCGACCAATACTTGCACTCCTGTCTCGGTCAGAAGGAGAATGAGGCGGCCGCATCTACTCGTAAGCATCCCATACATTTCCACGTGGCTCGACTGGATCACCACTCTTTCCGGGAAGCGAGGAGCACCGTGTCAACTGTCTTGAGTGCTGATGGTCGGCATCTTCGTTTGAAACCTGGGGCTGCGGTCGAATTAGCAAAGCACAGTCACATTATCATACCCAGTCTCTTTGTCAAACCTAGTGTGGATGGCTCTTGGGACCCGGAATCTGCTCCCGATTCCAGCGCCTTGGTATGCCGCTGCTCTCTTCTACTGTGTTTCTTTGCTCGTATTATTGTTCCTAATTTGCGTACATATCCTCACTGCTTTTAATCCGGGATTTTGCCATTAAATCATGATATTAAGGAGATCTGTCATAGCCACACAGTCAAATAACTATTGCACATCGAGAAAAGCACTGGACAATCTTCATCCTCCTGAGAATTGTCGGCAGTGCTCATTTCATCTCACCAACTCCCTTTACTCATGAATACTGCTCATTCTATCTTTCTCCTGTGAGACTAGAACTCCCGATCCTACGTGCACGCACCCGTGGTCAAAACTATTTGGCCACCGGCGTAAGCGGTAACCGCCGTAATTAGCTGTGCTCTAGCACGTATACTCATCCCCGCTGTTGTGTACCTTTCCTACTTGCAGCGGGCAGAGCTGGCCCTCTGCGCCGCGACTTCACTTTCTGAACTCGCATATTCCAATAGCAATGGCTGTCTGGCTGAGTAGGCTTTGGTTGCTTCTCTAACATTTAATCAAAATCCCACATTTCACCACTCTCTCTTTTCCTCTCGAAGTATGGACCACATTTGTCTTGATCGCCACGGCAGCTACTGTCCAAGCACAGATTCCAATTTGGATGGTCCTACTAGCATTTCTCCACGTAGTCTTTCAGCTCACTTTACACACTGCATCCGAGGCTTTGTCATTATGCATAATGTCGAAATTGTTACGCGCACGTCGGTGATTTAAGGTTGGTTTGCAAGTATCGGTAAGATTCGTGCGTCTTATCGAAGTAACGATGAGCTATGCATAGTGAAATGTTTGGCGTGGTGATACGTCCGGAGTTACTGCGCTATTCGTTGGTCGTTGCTTGCCGGACACCGGCCGTGTCTCACGGTGCGTGGGCGACTACTAAACGTTGATAGACTGGGTCGGGCTATATCGCAGTTAGATTTTCATCCATGATTGTCCCACGTGACATTAGTCTATGCTGCTGCTTAGTGGTACTAGACACTAGCAGTCATGGGTTCGGTTCCCTGAAGGGGAACGCTCACCAGTGACGTGTCCCAAGGGGACGCGTGCCGTGCACTGTCTGGTGCTTCTCTGGCTTCTAATCCAATTGCGATGAATTAATCTAGAACCTGGTTTTTTAACAAAACGCATTGCCACGTGTTTCCAAAGGGATTTGTTTTTTTCACGGATCTAAAAAGAAACAGGTTTCATTCAATGCGGTCGTTTACTTGGTACCGGAAAATGAACTTAGCATTGATCTTTGTCGTTCTAGGTACTGCTTGTTCTTGTGACACACTATACGTGGCTCGTAACCTTCGCCACGGTCGTATTTTCGTCTACTTATTTGTCGCTATGCTATTTGCGGGATCATCTATTGCCTGTGAGACGCAGCATATTGCAAGCCACTGGAGGCCGTGTCGCTGAGTCCATCTTCTCTTCGCACGATAGCAAGTTGTTTGTCGCCGCGTGGTCTCCGTAGGACATACGCACCGTGATTCTAGCTACTTACTTAGGGCGTTTAAGGTTGACGAAATGACATCTCTTCGGCAACGCCTTTACGTCGGCCGCTTTTTTCACTGGAACATCGATTTTACTCTATCTGCTGCGGCTTTATCCGTTTTCGCTAAATATATTCGCATTTTTCCCATTACACTAATACTGTTCCCCATCAATTTTCTGAGAAAGAATTTTAGTATACTTCGTGTACTATGCTGTTTGTTTACTTCGGATATATAAAAGCACAAATACATTCAAAAACATGTGGCAAAGGCGTTTTTTGTAACTTGAGGAATCAGCAACTCATTTGACAAACTGGGCTTTGACAATACACCACTAAGCGAATGTAACTACCAGGGATTAACTTCAGCAACCTTCAATCGTTACCTGCAGATTTTGGATCGTTTTTTCTAGAGACACTTGAGCAATTAGTGCTATTTTTCCTTCTAAACAATTGCTTTTTCCTTTAGTCATTTCACCTTAGCTATAGTGAATTGTTGGCAGTTCACCCACTCGGGTACGCAAAGCTTATATTGATCTGACTTGACTTCATCTCCCTTATCTCTGTGATCACGTTTTCCGTCAGTAGTGTATTGGTCGTTGTATGAGGATAGCCAACCACAGGTACGACATGCATGTCTACTTCTGTTGATTGGGAGGATGTCCGTAAAAGCCAACTTGCTATTCTGTTCTTCACTCTCTCACTTACCTAATGCATACACCAACATCTCCGAATTCGACCACGCCTGTGTCCTGACTACCTCCCCAAGTTGACCGTTTTCTTTTTCATTGCTTGTACGTCCGCCATGTAAACCTTATGAATTTTGAGCACTGTATGCTGACCTACTCTCCACGTTGACCAGTCTAGTTCGTTTGGTGATCAACTTATAGTTTTACTGAATTCCATCTGATACTTATCATCTACTTCTATCGCCCCTCTTCATTGTAGTCACTCGCTATTTCAACCTTTACTTTGATTATTGTATGTTTTTACATCCTCAGAGCAACTTCCATGGCATGGACACCATCACATCAGCAGTGTACTCCGGTTTGCATCTTGCTGAGGTCACTCTACGATCATTGCTCAAGTTTCACTCTCCCTTGGTGTCGATGAGCACCGATACAGATCCAGAGAGCAGTATCGTAGACAGCTCTCATTGTGTTGGCGAATTCACCGCCACCGATGGCCACGATTCGGACACCCAGTCTGCGAGTGACCGGCCGACCGCATGCGATCCCCCTCGATCTCCCGAAACGACGGCACTCAATGGAGGAGAGGACATAACATGTCCCATGTCTCCCGTTCGGTAGGAGCGTGGGCGCTCCCCTTGTTTAATCCTTGTCTCCGTGTTTATTGTCTCGTTCGCTCCTTGTATTTAACCGTGTAAATATTGTAAATGTTCGAATTCGCACACCTTATGCTAGTGTTATTTTTGTATCTGTTTCTTATTTTCGTTTGAGTCAGTCATCATCTTCTGTACAGCCAGAGGAGCAAGAGATTGGAACGATGTTATTTGTACATGCATTTCCAGTTTACAGCGCTCCTCCGATAAGCAGTTGTACCAATATAGTTTAATATATGTTTTTTACACTGGACTTGGGCCGGTTTGCTAAACACGTTGCTTCACACTTAGGTGGGGTATTTTTCGCAACGCCACCAAACACTTTATACAATATCGTTACGGCATTGGAAGATCCTCACCACCACTAGACTATCGAAATGAGATCGAGAAGATTTAGGCAAGCATTTGTTTACTGAGATAGCATCGCTCTCAGTCGTTCCAGTCTCGTTCCCATCATGTTCCGTGGTTAGATAGCAAACCTGTGTTGGGTGAGGTCACCTACATCCATTGCTTGTTCTGTTCGTCATTTTACGAGTTTCCTCAATGTGTAGCGCTCACGAAAAGGTCCGGCTGGGTTCGTGCAACTCCCTGACGCGATAGCATTTTTGTCCTGTTCAGCTAGTACTCGGTCATGTTGTCGTCGTCCAGGTCCATTTGACCCAGACTAGTAGCCATATCTACGCACCGAGTTGTGCTCGTAGTCATTGCTTACTCTACAACTAATGTCCTTGTACGAGTGCAGAGCAATAATTTTCCGGATATACAATACACAGATTAGGTGCAGATGATCTGGCAAGAAAAATATGAACTATAATCCATTCAGAACATTGTTCAATGTTTTCAACTCAGAACCCTTTATCAGCACAGCTCATCACTCATAAGGGTTGCTGTACTCTGGCCGTAAGTGTGGAATTCAGTCGATCTTACTGGAGGGCGATGATTTTCTATGACTTCAAATGTAGTTTAAAACAACAGTGTTGAGCGATTGCGCGCTACATATGGTGATGATACGCCTTCAAGGACTACTGTGTTTGAATGCTTTGCGGAATTCAAGCGTGGTAGGCGGTCCCTGGATGATGAGGCACGGTGTGGTGAATCTGTGGAGGCCACCACCGCAGACAACATTACTGCTGTGTAAGCGATCCTGGAAGGTGACGCGCGGGTGACTGTGGTACAACTGGGGGAAGTCATCGGGATTGATCCGCACTATCCTACACGAGAATCTCGGTCTCAGAAAGGTTTGCGTACTCTTGGTGCCTTATCAGTTCAGTGAGGATCAGAAAACAGTCCGGATGAGTTGGTACCACACCATGGTTGCCGGGTTTGGTGATGGAAAATCCAATGCTGTTTGGGGTCCTCGGTGACGAGACCTAAATGTACGGTTTTGACCTAGAGACCAGTCAACGATCAGCTCAGTGGACGGTCTTTGGTAGAGCGCCGCCTCAAAAATTCAGGCGGATGGTAACTGTGTTCGTGGCAAAAGCCGTTTATGTGGCCAATGTATCGTTCGTACGTTAACGCACAGTCACCGGAGACTGGTACCCCACCCACTGTCTGCCACAAGTGCTGGAAGCTGTAGCCAGGCGTTGTTCAAGGACTCGAGCACGAGGGATCTTACTACATCATACCAACGCACCTGCACACAGATCCCATGTCGTCATAGATTTCATGGCTAGAGAACGCATGCAGGAGGTTGGCCACCCATCTTACAGTCCAGAATTGGTTCCGTGTGAGTTTCTTGTGTTCCCAAGTGTCAAGTTCATGATGCGTGGAATCCACTACGAGTCTCCAGAAACCGCACTAGAGGACTTTATTGAGATTCTTGATGGGTTACCCACTTCGGCCTATTCTAAATGCTTCTTCAAATGGTTTGAGCACATGGAACTGTGCATGAAAGCCGGTGAAGAGTACTTTGGGAAAATGCAATCTTTATTTCGTAGTAAAACTTTTTATGTATCCGGAAACTCATTGCTCTACGCTCGTGTGTATGCGACTTTTAGACAAATCGTTCATGGTGACCGAGCTACTGCGTTGAGAAAACAGGCCCGATGTCAATCGATCAAGCAACGATTGCATACTGCTACACTGTAACTTTGTGATTTGGGTCCATCCAGAAGGATAAAATTCCACTAAGACGTTTCTTCTTGACTCGTTGCAGTTAACATAAGATTTTGTGTCCAAGATGATCGTACTGGATACCTCAGCATTTATATTCAACAGCTGGATAGAGTGGATTGGTCTCAGTGACTTTGGAAGTTGATTTGACAATATGTCTTCTAACTTATTCTTGCGAAAATGATGTTCGGTGAAGAAAGCAACGCCCGATTTAATGGCCCCGCCTGCGTTGGCTCGAAGTAAGAAATACCTCAGTTGTTGTTACGCAATCCAATTCAGTTAGCTTTCCGAATGTCCTTTGGGTTTGACAGTTTTCTTCTCAAAGTAGCGGCTGGCTCGTGAGCGACCTTGATGCGGTGTTGTTTGAGCAATCTGGCAGTCATTTCAACTATGTTCTTCATATACGGCAAAACGACCCTTTTGCTTGCATTTGGCATCGGCTCGGTGTTTGTAGGTTTGTGGTTTAAACATCTGCGCCAACGCTTTGTGGTGATCAGCTAGAACTCGTTCAGGAATTCAATTATCTGGGCAGCTATATTAGTGCCCATTGGATCGAAGATGAGTCCACGAACCCCACAGCAAAAACTCCAAGTGCTTTTTCGTCAGAACAGTGAGGAGACATAAGTCGCGCTATGTCAACATTTCGATTGTTCTCATCAGTCGCAAACACAATACAAGCGGGATTCATGGACAATTATATACAGGAGGAAAAAATTGGCACACTAATCAAAATGTCAAAATCGAGACCATGGTAACCTAATTCATTATCTCAATAGTTTCTGTGCATACAACCCAGGTTGATAAGCCCTAATTAACAAAGCCTCACTAATCACCAGTATATACTTGTCTATGAATCCCGTTTGTATTGTGTTTGCGACTGATCGAAATGTTGACATATCGCAACTTATGTCTTCTCACTGCTCTGACGAAATGGCTGAAGGGGACCCACTGTTTTACCTTCCAAGTGCTTTGCCAATCTCCGCCACCTATGGTTATGATGCGACATCATCGTCGCCCTGAAGTGCAGAGTTTATAACACAGCCATCCGCTCAACCCTTCTGTATGGTTGTGAAACCTGGCCCATCAGGTCGACAGACATAAAGAGGCTCGTCACATCCGATCATCGCTGCCTTCACAGCTTAGTTCATGTCTGGTGGGAGCACCGAGTGAGCAATGAGCATGTTCGGCGTTGCGTATTTGGTGCAGGAAGAAAGAGTGAACCGATCAGCACCATTACATCACGCATCGATGGCTGGGCCACGTGTTGCGCATGCGAGCACACCGACTTCGCGATTTGCATTGTTTCCTCACCGGGGGTGCGATTGGGAGGGTAGCCCAAGCGATGACTTGGTCGAGTGTGAGGAAAACACTCGCTTCGAAGTTGCTGTCGGTTGGTGCATTCCGACTGCCTGGCTGGGCTCCTAAAGACGATGAGCACGTTTGGTTGGACACATTTGCTGATATGGCTAGGAGCCGGCACCAGTGACGTTTGTGTTGTGAGTTCCTTTGTCCATCCCCTCCTGCTTAGCCTCCCCTCCAATCGTGATCTCATTCGCTAGGCATAATATGACTTTTTTGCGGAACGATAGCCGGCTGTTAGCTCTCCGGAGCGATGTCCATCCGTTACTTGGTAGTCAGTTTGTGTGCCAATGTTATATTTTTTCTTGTCTTTAGTATTGCGGCACAATGGCTGAGATGTTTTCCACCTGCAGCTAACGTGTATAATGATGATGATGAAGCTGTGTGGGTAACCATTGCGCTCAAACGAATCACATGGTACGAATACTGATCACGGACGCTCACAATCCTATCAATAAATATGAGAGATGTCTGGATGTAGAGCGAGCCACTTGTTTGCAAACCGTGGGACAACAGAACAACTACAATCGAACACAGAGCAAACAACGCCGGGATGAAGAAGCAAGCTGCGCCCCATGGGAAGTTGTCGAAATTGACCATCCACCAATACGGAAATGACAGCAATCCCTTTATCAGGAACCTTTCTAAATGACCGCTCAGTGAGACAGAGCATCAAATACTCATCAAAGGATTGAACTACAATTTCAAAGACGCGGCAATCACAGCTTTTAGCGTAATTCGAAAACGCTCTACGAGCAAATGGACTTGAAGAAGAGATTCGGGAGCAAATCCGACACACAATCGTCCCTACCATGACACACGTCCAGTAATGTAATGCCCTATCTCGACAGGATCAAGAAGCATTGAAAGCCCTGAGATCCGACGAGTCAATCGTTATATTTCCTGCAGACAAAGGACGTATGACAGTCATAATGGATAAGGCAGATTATATTGAGAAAGCAAAACGACTTCTGAACCATACAACCAAATACAGGCTCAGTAATTACGATCCGACATCACAGCTAACAAACCATATAAACAGAACATTGCATGAATTACAACAGTTGAAAGAAATTACAGAAATTGAAAGGAATAAAATGAGAACCCGTGTCTAAAACGTCGCACATTTCTACGGGCTTCCAAAAGTACACAAAGAGGGTGCTCCGTTGCGGCCAATTGTTTCCCTTCCCGGTACACCCACCTACAACCTGACAAGGGACTTGTGGAGGCACCTCAAACATCTACTCAGTGTATCGCAGCACTCCGTAGGCAACGCCAAGCAATTTCTAGAAGAGCTCAAGAACCTGCATGTAGATCATGACGAAACGATGGTCTCCTTCGACGTCACCGCGTTATTTACATCTGTTAATTTGCAACTGGTAAAAGAAGTTTTCATAGAACACCTTAACAACAGAGAAGAGAAAATCGGGAATATGACGACCGCATGCATTTACAAGCTTCTCCAATTATGCCTCACAACATACTTCTCGTTCAACGGAGAGACCTATGTGCAAGTGAAAGGGGCACCGATGGGATAATCAGTATCAGGTCTAATCGAGATCACCATGTAAAAGTAGGAAGAAGATCTACTATCAGCCATTAACCCGAATTTGTGGATGCGCTATGTCGACGATGCATTTGTAATACTCAAACGCAGTGAAGTAGCACTCACACACCAACTACTCAACAATGCAATGCATGGGATTCAGTTTACAATGGAGTTAGAGGCAGAAAACATGCCCCAGTTTTTGGATGGGTCGGATGGCGAATTCCAAACATCATTTCAAAGGAAAGGCACACATACGGACCAAATTTTGAACTTCAACAGCAACCACTTAAAGTGCCACAAAATAAGCTGCGTGCGGACACTATTTCGCAGGATTGAAACACACTGCAGTACAGCGGAAGCCAAACGGGAAGAGAAACGCCTATTGGATTCGTTTGATCGCAATGGATGCCCACGCAGCTTCATCTGCAGATGTTTAAACCACAAACCTACAAACATCGAGCCGATGCCAAATGCATGCAAAAGGGTCGTTTTGCCGTATATGAAGAACATATCTGAAATGACTGCTAGATTGCTCAAACAACACCGCATCCTGGTCGCTTACAAGCCAACCGCTACTTTGAGAAGAAAACTGTCAAGCCCAATAGACATTCGGAAAACAAGAACGAACAAACGTCGTGTATATAATAAATTGCAATAATTGTGAAATAAACTATGTGGGACAGACAGGAAGAAAACTATCCACAAGTATACGAGAACATCAGAGGGCTTGTAAACAACACCATGCATCGTCTCTTGTCTTGTCGAATGTGGACGAGGAGGGACATAGCTTCAATTGGAACAAAACGGAGATTTTAGCTCAAACAACAACACAGAAAGGAAGAGAATTCCTAGAAGCATGGTACTTCTCTAATAATTCAATCAACATACGCATCGACATCCACCCCGTGTACCATCAGCACAGAAAGAAAGATCTCCGGCGAGTTAAAAGACATGGTTCAGTCGCGAACGCGAATGGACAAAGATCACGTGGCGCAAATCGAGATTGCCACCTTCAAAAGTCACCTGCCTGCAATGATTCGTAATACCTGTAGCTCGGGTTGGTAGTTAACGTTTTGATTCGTTTTCCAAGCTGAGTACTTTAATGATAAATGTTCCGTGAGATTTTCCTCTACGTTAGTCACCTGCCTGTCGATCACAGACTGACGATACAATAAGCAGGATTGTACATTGCATATCACCGCACTGATGATGCCACCTCGCATGGTGGTGAAATGTATGCAATCCCTTTATCAAGCTCAGAGAAACGATCAAAAGGTGCGCAACCAATCCTGGCTACCAGTGTTCTAAATCATTTGCTTTTCCTTTGCCATAAACAAGGCGGTGAACACGCGTTATTAGCACTGGCCTCTTTACATCTGACCATCTAATAGTTCTGGCTTCGCAATCGTGCAGTAGGTTTTGCAGATAACTGCGCAGTAACGCGCAGGCACCATAAGTGCCTGTGTTAGAAAGTAAAGATGATCCTTATTTTATCGCTGGATATTCTGAAGAGCAGTGACAGTTTGCTGTAAACTCTGTAGAAACTACCCACGTAAAGCGGTCTCAGATTGTTTGCGTACTTCTCGAGCACATCTTTCGTAGCCATGCAGTCCCAAGAGTTCACCCGTCCCCTGCTGAAAGATGAAAACTACGACTGGTCGCCAATTTAGGTGTTTCAGCAACTGACGTAATGTGACAGTGTGGGCAATGCAGCCTCGATTTCCACTTAACTCGGCGTGTTCTTTACGAGTCCATTTTTCACGGACATCAATCAGTCTGTGAAGAACAATAGTGGCAATAGAAATCAGACTGATATGTCTATGATTGCCGCACTCCGAACGTGAGTGCTGCTTTAAAATCTGGATTATAACAGATCAGTTCCAGTTTATTTGGACAGTCTCTTTTCCTCAGTTTTGCTATTTGAATTGTGCAACTGATCTACAGAATTTGAAGTGCACTGGAGCAATTCCATTCATTTTCAACTGTACCGACTCGCTTCTGCGCAGGACGACTGATCGAAAGGGACGGCTCATGGAGCTGGATGATAGATAACTTGCAAGGAAGGTGGCATTTTTGAACTATTAACTTATTCAACCATACGTTCCGTTCTTTTTGACGTTCTATGTATGGTCTTTCATATATATTTTCCCTACACCGGGTCACCTGTCGCCCAATGGTTACCTGCATCAGCGACTGATCATGACGAGACCACTAGGCATCGCTGTCTCTGGTCACGCTAGCACACTTTCCCCTGATATCCTTGCGAGTATGCTTGTATTCGATTCCAGCCAGAATGCGTCTGCGGTCATCCGGAAGTTTTTGGAGGCTACTTGGTTACCCATCGACTGCAATGTCCGTATAGCTTCTAAGTCCTATGGGGCACATAGGCGCTATGCGGAAAGTCCTAGCTCGTGAGGCTAGCCATTGTCCTCTGCACAGTTCGTAACTGGCATGGCAGTGGAAGATGAGTCAGGCTATATCATAGTCAACTGTCAATCGCGCAGGTCCACGGCTGTCACCCATGGCGAAGTGGCACTAGCTGCTGGCTTCTTGAAGTCATGGGGGCGGAACCCGGCAGTGGTCTGCTGAGAGGCGCATCACTGACCAGACCCAGAAGGTCGAAACGCCGGCGTCTGCTACTTTTCCAGACTAGCCTAAGCCTGTTGATTAGGAGTGACAATGATGAATTAGCTAACTGACAGTTGTATATGTCACTTAAAAACACATGTGGTCTGATGAATCTTCAACTATGTTCCTTGAGCGCGTGACCGTGCTCTGGTTCGTGTTCAGAGTATCTGGTTCCGTCTGTTGACGGGTGTCTATGTGATCACAACATCGTCGCAGGCGTCTGTCGAATCACACCAGCAATTTGATATATAACTACATGGTAGTAGTTCACTACTTTGCTTCAACCCGAGCGATAGTTTTATACTTAGTCTCCCCAATAGTAATTGCTCGCGATGGGTTCCATCTGGGTCCCCGCATGATGGACGCCGTGTCCGCAGTTAGTAATAGTAAGAAATAACTTTCTTCACACAGTTGTGGGAGCCGCTCACTGTTATCGTTACGTGTGCTAGATCGAAGCTCATCATTGGACGATGTTCTGATTACTTTAAGCAAGAACTTAGGTGATGCAAGCTGTGAGATGACGGTCATTCCGTGCATGCTTTTCGATCACAACCATGCAACTAGCGATAGGGGTTACAAAAAAGCGGAGTGGGTAGATTAGTTGTCAGTCAGTGCGCTCCACGCTACCACAGTAGACTAGGTTGTAGTCCGCTGTTTCTGTAAACAGACGTGCGGCCGTTCCCGATCAACAAAAGCTGTGTTATCTTCGAATATCCTCAAGATGTCACATGAAGTCAGCCGTAGAGTGAATATATAGCTCGAGCTTTGCAGGCAGTTTTCCCATATCGATCGGGAGAGTCTCCAATCTTCAAGTCGGCCGATCAGCGATGAAGTGCGCAGGGTAAGGGATGTCAGTCTTATTAATTATCGATGGCTCCAACTAGAGGCAGGTGAACTGCGGTCGTCCACTTCTTTGGACGTGGGGTTGACTACGGAGCCGCAGTGGCATTTTCTGCTTGTGTGTTTGAGACGAAACTAGAGGGCACCTACATATCACAACAAATTGAGGATACCCAACCATTATCGTCCAACCATCCTTTTTCACCAACGGCGTTCATATCACACAACATACGAACCGCTGTGGCGTAAAGTAACTGACCACAGATCACATCTAGGACTGTACTTTCGTTTCTGTTTCGATTTGTACACGAGAGAACACGCTGTACTAGCTGAGCATTGTAATCAAACATATGGTGGTTTGTCATGTATTTGGGATAAAGATCATTGATTTCATGAAAGGGACAAAATCTTATTTGTTTTGTATGTGTATAACGGCATTGTAACAATGCCCATCACAGTTGCGATGCAATGAAAGAACCCTATTGGAATGGGCTGAGATAATACCCTGTTGGCCTTCACATTAGAATGCGACGCGTCCAGTTTGTCCCACTTTTTCATGCGGTGCACCTTGCTTGGGGATACGCGGTAGACCAGGTTCCGTCGCCTGAATTCCCGGCGACTGACCGTCTGTGCTAGAATCCGGTTTGATTTCAAGCAGTTTCTGGTTAACCTATAGAGAACGTAGCCAACATAAGTGATAGTTATAATGAATTACCTCAATTTTTGGCTGCAATAGGCGTTTTTGAATGGGTAGCTGAGAAATAGGAATTTTCAACGTTTATTACCATGTAAAAGCATTATGTTTCTCAAATGTGTTGCTGTCGCGATAAGTGGCGGAATGATGCAATACTGGTATGTACTAATTAACACTCACGAAAATATCAACAATCATCCTGTCACCGAGGTTGTATCCCAAAGAATGGATCTCCCAGTGCATTTATCGATTAGGGCAATGAGATGTGTTTTACTTGGCATATCTAACCCTCCCGAAGCGAAATGGAAATCAATAACCCAACGATTGCTTTATTCTTCACTACCATAAACATTTTCCTTATTTCTCGTTCGGCCCTCAACGGTGGACTCTGGACGGTCTGTCTGCGTCAGCCGTTTTTCACACTTGGGATGTTCTCGCAACTTACTATGTTGGGTTTCCGTGTTACTGTCTCACGTCACTGGCACTCTACAACTGAATTTGTCATAGTCTAGTACTTGGTGATTGAGGGCTAGGTCATTGAGCTCCTCGAGCAGCGCTTCAGACAGCAATTAAAAGTTGCTTATTTGGTTTTGAATTACCAAGTTGTACCGAGACAGTGTTTGCCAGTGCACGAGTTGCTGTCGCTCATCTCAGACTTTCCAAAGCATTCGATCTGTTTGACAATTCCGTCTTACTCTCCAAGCTTCACGTATACAGTCTTTGCGAATTTCTCCCAAGGTCGATCAGTTAATGCCTCTTCGCAGGCCTCCTTAGGTTAAACCTCGTGGATCAATATCAAACCTTATCCAAATAGGATGGGGCGTACTAGCGCCATCGGTATTAGGGTCCGTCAGTTCTTTATGTTTATTACTCATCTAGCATGCTTAATGAATTCAACACATTTCTTGTATGCCGGAGACATCAACATATACCTAGTGCTCAAAACGCCAAGTGATCACAAAGAGCTACAAGAAGATCTCGCGAATGTTTATGGAGGGTTAGACCAGAATCTCCTTCTACTAAATATCTTGCTCTCTCTACAACACCAAATGATGCTACGTGACCGGAATCTCCAGATGTTCTTGTGTGAAAGATCTCGACGTGCTGATATTCAGAAATGCATCCCTCGCTTGGAATCAACCGAAATGGTATCAACGAACACTACTCACGAAGTAGGACTCTCACGGAGAGATTTCTAAAGCCTCCTTTCTGATCCCCTCCCCGACTTCTCTCTGTATGCAATCGGCTTCACATGAAATAGACAATTCAAGCAGGCATTCATGACAAAAGCGAAATCTCACCGTTCAAGATTCCGTAACATCGGGCGGCCAAGAATGTGGAAATGCTGTGCCAGTACCGTGGGCTTTCAGTGACTAACTAGATCTAGTGGTTCACTAGATTTTAAGCAACCCTAAGCACACATTCTTCTACCTGCTCAAGTTCAGTAGTATAGCAGCCTGAGATGTCACCATCTCAGATTGGTATATCAGCACAATCACTCGGAGTGTCTTCGGAATTTCTTCCCACCGGTAATAACTCTCTGAATCCGTTACTTCAACTGCATTCGAAGATTCTGCCGACAGTACACCTGAGACAGGTGTTAGAGCAGCGTCATACGTACCGTGGACCAATAATTGCTATATTCCTCGAGTTCAATCATGTGTTTGACTCAGTCGACAGATCAATTCTGTTCGAAATACTTGCACGTAAGGTTATCCCCATGAAACATGTGCACGATTTACGTGCCTTTTGCTCGAACACAGCAGGTCACATCAGGGTCTGCTGTGACTTCTATATTCCCGACAACAAGTGGCATTTGTCGGGATTGCACAAGTTCTCCATTTTTGTTCAACTTTGACGTGAACTATATCATATATTGCTTCCTTGTGAAATCACAAGTTGTAGGCGATGAGATCCTACCTGATGGAAGGTTACTTGATCCTGATTATGAAGATGATATTGACTGTTTTTTAACGATGTTGGTGAAGCGCAATCAACTCTGGATAACCTTTCTAGTGTGGACTCACCATTCGGCTTGCACCAAAGATCAAAGTGTCGTTGCAGGATTACCAGCCACTTGCTGACCCTTAATATTGAGGAATTCATAGTAGTTGACCAATTCACTTACCTTGGAAGCTGCAACAGCAACAATAGACGCATAATCACTGAAGTCAGTTCACGCATTGCAAAAGCCAGAACTGCCTTTTTGAATCCGCTGACAACTGCGGTGTGAGAAAATAGTTCCCCTCGGTGTGAAATACCATGTGTGCATGTTCACATTGAGGGATGTCCTACCCCATGGCAATGCGACGGATTTCTCCGTCTGAGGATCTATGGCGTCTTCAAGTCTTTGATTATCACTGCCTCAGAGCGTTGCTGGCGTCAGATGTTATTAAGATGTCTGCGAAGATGCTGTGCGTAGCCCAGGGTCAGGCAATGATAATCATGTTAGTTATTTAGAACTAGAGACAGCACCGAATAAATTGCGTTGGATTCGGAAGGTATTATGTATGCCCGGTCACCGCTTGCCGAGGCTAGCCTTGTTACGTTTGTCAGATATAAGTCGGCGCGAGGCTCAAGGTGGACAAAAGTTGTATTGGCAGAGAGAAATGAAGTCACTGACTACGAAACTTGGTGCTGCTTGTACGTCTCCCATTCCACGCCCTAGTCTACGTGATATGTCATGTGCTTGGCTGCAATCGGCACCAGTGGCGTGTCTGTTGTCGTCTCATAATCGGACTGCCTGTCTAATGTGTGCATGTTGCTGAATTATCTACCTAATGATGACACGGGGAAGGAAAAACCACAAGGAAGCTGTCTCGCTGGTGCCGCCTCATCCTTGCACCATAGTGATAGTATGTGAGAGTATGCCGTTGACAAGGTGTAGACTTCGTGACCCTGAATGTTTGCTTAGGGCACGAAGGCTTTACGCTAGGTCCCTCTTCACTCCCTGTTATTGTTATTCGTTCCTTTAGCCTTTATGGTTGTACGACAGAGAAGCATCGGTCCAAATGGCTGGTGTAGTGCTGTGGATGATGATGACACCCCATTACACCTATATGAACATCAAGAAACCGAAACGCACAAATCCACTCCCGTTTTGCTATGAACGCAAAAGGCGACAGCCTTGTTCACTACGCCAAACCACATGTCAACAATTCAAACAGGCACAATGTTGATCGACAAGTTCGCAGCTGATGGTTGCTTACTTTCTGCAATCCTCAACTGACTCTATGAAGTGTGTAATATTACAGTATTTCATCACAATATACTTTACCAATTGATATTCCTTTCACAGTATTCTACCAAAAATGCAAACTTACGGACTCACAAACCGGATGAGCTAATTCGGCCTTCTGTGATTCCGTTTGAATCACAGACGCGTTGGTCGAATTGCCATATCCCATCGTTGTGTATGGCTGACATACATTGCTGTTTACACCTGGTTGTGGTAGAACCAAACCACTGACCAAAGGGTTTTGCTGGAATAGAGCAGGGTTTGCCTGACCAAACGCACCCAATGGTTGCTGTAGTACAGTCGGTGGGTTCGCTGTATTGGTTTGGACGGGGATGAAATTCATATGATTCACGGATACATCTGTTGGACGAGAAGCAGAAATTATTTGGTGGATATGGAGATACATACGATGGCTTGTTCATACTTTGAGTACGATCTTAAAATTACTTCACCAATTAATTTATGACCTTCACAGCATCGACTTTTGATGCTTTAAACTAGTATTCCTTGGTAAATGGACGAATAGTGCTTACTTGGTTGTTACTGTACTTTCAAATGACGTAATTACTGGTCTAGAACATTGTCATACCGGTATTGTCTAGCATGGGTCTTGTGCGTTCCTTATTCTGAGTAGATATCGTCGATGAGATAGGATGATAAGGAATGCCTCCCCTACTAACTGGAAACAGGAAGGTGTTGGAGAAAGTTTGGAGAGGAAATCTGTTTATGTATGCTGATAGTGCCGTTTCTTTTACACACCGAGCTACTACATATAGTCCGCAATGAATGGACTCGTCTGGTTAATATATGACGAATCGAATCTGAGCCCTGGTGTCTGGCTGTCGCCATGTCTGAAAAGCCAGTTCCTTAATGACAAAAGTTTATTCTGCAAGGTCAAATCGAAGAAAATCAGCACATTTGGAAAATTATCGCATCGAACAACTTCGTTCGTGCACTTTCGTGAACAACCATTAAGGAGTTTCAACCTTTGGCCCAGTTAAACAAACAGCGAGGAGCTCACGGTAGCTCATACAAATGTCAGACAACCGGCGTCCATTGGTGGAACCCGTCAAGTTCATCTCCCATTGCTTGTCTAGCATGTGCCTTGGATTCATCTGTGCCGTCTGATTGGACACGCTCATCACAACTAGCATTGTCTCACTTGGGCTACTGTGGACTAGTGGAACCCGGTTTTGTACTTTTGCAAGTGTCCAGCATCCGGGTTTTTTCTTACTTTGCGGTTGAGTATAATTACTTCCCCGTACCCCGAATATTCCAGACCAAGAGGAAGTCCGTTTCTCAGCACACTATCGGGAGCAAGTTTATACAAAAGTCTATGGGTTGGGATAAACGGTCCTAGTTGCTGGGATACCCGTGATCTTTCTCAATGTGGTTCACAGTCCCAAATATCAATGCAGCCCTCTTTCCGCGCATATAGCGGTCGATGCAGCAAACATGTTACGCGTGTTAAGTGGAAGGCCAACCGCCATCCCAAGCACGGTAATTGTTTGCGAACCCAAGTCATTCCATAGACATTTACGTTTCTCGATTAGTTAAAACCTTGGTAGCTCAAATATCAACAAGGCTACCTCAGTGTGAGACTAAGCGCTACCAGGCAGTTTGTATCCCAGAGAACGGCAGGCGATTTTATTTCCGCTAGGTGCCCAACGCAGCAAAAGTCATTGCCGTGAGAGACTGTGAGCAACACCAAATAAACCGTAAAACTGTCCATTCTGCCACTAGTAGAATTCAAGTGCGTAAAGAAAAAATAAACTTCTTAACTGCTGTTCGTGACTGTGATTCCATGAGCTGTCTATGGTTGCGCCAAAAACTCGGCACTCTGCGTTGCAACCACGAAACGGACAGCTCACTTTACCTTACCTGTGGAACTGAGCAACGAGTCGATTTCGTACAACTCCCATATGCAGTACGGAAATAACTCCAGGACCGGTAGATTCCCAATTTGCCAACCAACCTAGTGGTTTCTTCTTCTACAGACTCCACGAGCAGTAAAGGTATTTGGCGGCACTGCATCGTTTTATGTGGCTGTGATTGGAGTGTCCAGCAGATCTACACTTAGCTTCAACTAACGTGAGTCTCCAGATTAAGTTCCTAGAAGTTTTGACATGTCGGGTACCGAAAAATGATGCTACCCAAAAAAGGCGATTGCACACAAGTTTATCTCATTGCTTTAGATATTCGTCTATCCTCCTCGACCAGTAGAGTATAACCTAAAGTCTCCAGTGCTTACACATTGGTGCCTTTTCTCTGGCTAACCTCAGAGTTCTCGCTGATGGACCCAACTGCCGCCTGTGTCCATCATCTTGGATTCATTCCACGGTAATCGGCCATCTGGACCATCACACCGATAACCCGAAACAAATATTTGTCCTATTAAAACTTGTGCTTAGATAATAAAAGAAGGATTGACTTACACAAATTGCCAAGACCGGTCCCATTCAAAATGCGTCAACGTCTAGAACCGACATAAAGAAATACACGCGAAGTGTACAACGATTTCACTAGTAAAATGTGTACTAGCGTTAACACAAAAGTAGAACAGCGTAGTCGCCGAAACGGAACACGTAGCACATTTGTCACCAAATCCGTCTTCCGCAATTGCTGCCTCGAAACCAGTCAAAAGGGTCAGGCGTTCGCACGGCCTAGCAGTACTGGAAACCCTGGGAAGCACCAACCAAGTTGTCATCGCGACCGATAGAAGCATGCCTAGCCCCACCACCAACATCCTCTTATCCAATCTACCGATTGATGCAACATCGGTAACACCCACTCTTCCGTTTGAGGAATGAAAGTAAAAGCGCTCTAAAACCCGATCCACCTATGCAACCGTTGCTGCTCGTCATAATCAAAGCGTGACATAAGAAGCCTCTCCCAGTACAAGCACAAAACAGGTCAAGCACTAGGTGCAACCTACAGAAACTTCACTAAATCCTCGACAACCGTGCCTCCCTCATCACCGAAGACCAGGCGGAATTACGGAGCCTTGACAATTATATGCATCAAGGTTCCGGAGTCCAAGACAAACTCCTTAATGGGTAAACATCTGAATGATTTAAAGCATTGGAATTTCCTTTGTGAAATAATCGGAGTTCAAAGCAGTTCGACTAACATAATGCACAGCACTAGACATCCAACCTCGAATCTTTATGAGGAGTCCTGTACAAGGGGAGTAATATAGGGATCATTAGAATATGTTGAGACGGTGTTTTGTCACCATCCTGCCTGCCGACTGAAAACAGTGGCATACGCATATCACCGGATGTTCCATGGAGCGAACGCCAGCGGGACAAAAATAATTCTAACGAACACCACACGGTGAGTAATAAAAGAATTATTTTCGGTAATGGTGGGCCCGAGCTACAGACAACTAGCAACGAAGAAGTCCGCGCTCATGCTGTGGAAGAATGGCATCACATCCGTGAAGCTTTCTGTGCGGTCGACGTCATACATCATTCGATTACACGGTTACCGGTGTCGCCAAACTACAGTGCGAGTGGTACGAGTATACTGAAACTAACCGTGTAGTCGCAACAGGTGGCCGTGCACTTACTGCGTAACTGGCAGTTACTAAGCAACAAACGTCATTCGGAACTACGATTGAAGACCGCAGTTAGAGAGCCCCAGCCACTCGCTGTTCTCGCGGAAAGGGCATCACCCGCAACTCTATATAACCGCAACCAAGATTCAGAAACCGGTGCGCTAAGACCCATAGCGCACTGCGGAAAACGACACACCGTGCGGCCGCACTTTAACGGCTCTCGTCTTGCCCTCTGTGGCCACTCTAATTCTCCCCACACCATATTATGTGTGCGCGCGTTCGAACCAGTTGGATGAGCCCTACTCGCTGCTTCCAAACTCTTAGATCTAACCTGTGTGGATTATACGCTTGCTCCAGTTGCCAGTTTTCGGCATATTCTTTGCCGAGTTCCACTTGTGTAACTACAGCAAACCGGCTTTTTGGAAAAGATTTTGGTCTCATTCGGAAGAAGAAGTTGAGGACTCCCAAACTACGCGGCAACCATCCCTGCAAGTTACAGCATAACAAAGTTACCGCGTATTTTGCTCCGCTCATCAACTGAGCAGCTCTAGGGAAGCTTATCAGGGCTCCACCTGCATCGTCGCCTAAGCCAGGCCGATTAACATACACTGCCGATTTGTGTGTGTGTGTGTGTGTGTTCAACTGCCAGTCGATTGATCGCTGAACATGACGGTGCGCGTTAGGACCTCCAACTGCCTGTACCGCCTGACATTGGCGCGGTTGAACAACTCTCAATTCGTGTGCGTGTTTTGACCTGTTTGTGCTTCACGCCTGGCGCAAAGAACACTCATCAAGGTGAGCGCTTAGATAGGCCTTACTGTAAACAAAATGAGGACGACTAGCATTCCAATGGTTCAAGGTAGCTTACGTTGCCCAGCCAATTGCAGTAACTTCCTTAAGATCAGTAGTACCTATACTAGCTGCGTTAGATCGTACTCTCCGTAATGTGTAGGCAAATCTGTCCAAGAAGTGAGACAGACAAACAAATTTGCTGACACAATTTGGTTTTACCCATCATGTCAAGTCATTCCAGTTGTCAACTGTCTAGCTTTGGTCATGTAAAGTGTGATAGAATGACTGAGATAATTGCACGTTTTCTAAATACTAAGGTCGACCCCATAGAGGTAAATATGGCCACGATAATACCTCACCCAGCCAAAGTAAGCTCCAAATCTAAGCCGAAGATGAGAGCTAGACGCTCCAAACGCACTGCAGCGTCTCTGACTCCAAATCCACTGGGTCACCTCAGTCCCATAAATGGACAAGCTTCAAACATGCCTGCTTCCACTTCTCCAACCCTAGACGCTTCACTTGGAGATTCAGCCATGACACCGACAGCTCACAGCCGAAGGCAATCCGGTGCAGATAACAAGCAGGTGACGTACGCGTCGACTGCCTCGACAAACACACACACAGTGACACACATAGATCCATCTTCCGCACCGAGCACGCGTAGCGCAATGCAACTTTCATACACAACCCCAGTGGTGCCTTCTAAACAACCCGAATTGCCGGCAAAAAGGATAAAGCCAACACTCGCTAGACAACACCACGCTGCATAAAGTCTGGTGTGCACCAATGTTCCTGAATCCAAATCTGGCACAACAAAAGGCAAGCTGCAATACGATCGCAACCAGTGGAATTCCATCTGCGAGGCGAATGGTATTCGGGTTAGCCTGCCATGCTGCAATGAGTAGCGCGTCACTCGACCTCAGTGCACTCTGGTGAACTTCGAATTCTTCGAGTGACACTAGCCTCAGCAGATGAGACAGAAGCTGCCATACTCTCAGCAGTTCGTCTT